AGGTATTTTCCAGCCTCCAACTAGAAAAACAGGAGCAAAATGGTAATGAGGTCCTGCCCACAGCAGTACTGGCTTCTCACAGGCTTGGCTTCCCTGGGTTTCACCTCTCTCCTCTCCGTTAGTCCAACAGGTTATCGAAAATCACATCCTCAAGCTATTCCAGAGAAAGGAGCTGGAGTGACACGGCAGCTCGTGGTGCACTGCTGCAGCACCAGCACTTCTGGGACCACCTCAGCCTCACCCAGCCATCCTTCAATGGGCAGGGACATGATGCTTCAGGCAAGGAGCACACGGAGGAAGCTGGGAATGGCCTGGCCTCGATGGGTCTGTGCCTCTCCCAGAGGGTGGCACAGCCACAGTGCCTCACACCCGGGGACACTCATTTCTCAGGGCAGCTGCATTTCTGCCCTGTCCGGGCTCGGCTGCTTTGTGCCCGTGTGCATTCAGGTGTTGAATTAGTGGAAGTAAACTCTTAAAGTAGCCGTGTGGAGCCCTGTCTGTTGCCTCAGCCTCTCACAGTTGCCAGTCCCTCATCCCAGTACTGGGGAACCACAAGGGGAACTGGGCCAGCTAACCTCCCAGTGCCCTGGTATTCATCTCCAAAGCTGTCTCTTTGAAGAGGGAGGCTTCTTCTTACACCCATAAACTTGCCAAGCTCTCCAGGCACTCAGCGCTGTAACCAGCCAGGGAAATACCCACAGGCAGGAGCAAAACCCCACGGGAAGCATCACCCTGCCAGCCAGGAACACAGCATGGCCCTGGCCAACAGCCGGCACGCTGCCATCCCGAGCCGGAGCCCTGCAGGGCTGCAAACAGCCACTCCAAGAAGTTCAAGGGTGGTTGGCAAAGGTGAGAGACAGCCAGAGCCCACAGCACATGGAGGTGACACTTCTCCTCTCCCCTGCTCAAGCCACACACCAGCACAGCCGTGGCAAACCCTGGAGGGCTCAGTTTTGGGGTGTGACTTGCCCAAGGAGCAGCCAGGGAGGAGCAGGGGACACCATTTATTCAGCTGGTTACACACGTTGTGTCCCACCAAAGGCTCAGAAGTCCAGCACGTGGATCTCAGCACTAATGTCCCTCTGTCACTGCCATCCCATGGCACAGGGGTTCCCTCTCAGCGCCTTTGGGGTGCAGTTAGGGGCAGCCTGTCCCCACTGGCAAGGTTTGCTCTCCCATTTCCCCCCACGCAGCACAGCCCCTGAGGTGGGGGCAATGCAGGTGATGGGGGAGCAGCCCCCCACACTGTCCTACAGCCTCTCCCCCAGCACCCCGAGGTGGTACACCACAATCCTCCCAAAGAAGTCTGTGCTCTTCTCAAAGGTGATCTTCAGCTTATCCAGCACAGTCTCCTCCACCTGGAATCTGTACGGGGCCAGTAAAGGAGAAAAATAGGCAAGAGGACACCATGAGATGTGGGAGACCCGCTCCGAGCAGGCTCACGTGGGGCTCACACCCTGGTGACCCACAGCCACCGATGGCCAGATTTACTCCAGCTCTACTGAGTTGATTCAGTGGTAGCAAAGTGCCAACAGACACTTGCAGGTCTATCATTTAAATCTCAGCTCTGCCATCACCCCCCTACCCCTCCACAGCCATGGGTGGCTCTGAACCCACCCACCAAGCCCTTCAACCAAGGATATCTGCATGGCGTTGATGTCCTCGGGGTACAGGTCGGATATTTTCACTGGTTCTTCACC